TGAGAGTATGTACATTAGGGTGGGTCGAAAAAAAAAGTTGAGTCAGTCACCCCCTACGATTAAAGATATGTTAATAACATTTCCGAAAATATAAAATATATTTTTTTGCCACGCCTAGAAATACCGCCCTTTTTGTTTTTTATATATAACGTCGCCATTTTAAGTCTGATCGTAACATATGATATATCAATATTTATGGCTTGACTGTAGCTATATTTCACTCTTAGAAAATTTTTTACTTCGACGTCATATTCTATGCGCGACTTCTGATATCTCGGATCCTTCCCCAAAATCTATAATTGTGGCTATACTGGAATAAAGTACATTGAATTATATGAACTATTAGCTTTTAAAATGCTCACTTTTACGCATAATCACCTATTTTACAGGTATTTAAAAATACCTGTATAGTTCTAACTACAAACAATTAATTTGCTAGGGATATGGTCGAAAACTATTTTTTTAAATTAATTTACAATACACAAATTTCATTCTGCCCTAATCTTAACACAAGGAAGATAATTTTATTCGGCATTTAATTTTATTAATTAATAACAAAATCACGTAGGTATATAAAAACTAAACATTTTATTTTATAAAAATCTATGCAAAATTAAATACTTATACTTTATAAAAATATTTCTACAATTTTCAAAAATGTTTATACTAATTTTTATAAAATGTAATAAATTTATTTAATGATAGATTAACTTTTCTTAAATAGTTATATATTTTTAAAGAAGTTCTTGAAATAAAAACTAATAAAAAAATATTAGTCGGGAATGGCCGACCATATGATACCAGTTATGAGATACCAGTTTTTAATAAAGCATTTATATTGAAATTTGTCCATTACTTTTTAAGCAATTTATTGATGAAAACTAATTTTCTGAAAGAGCCTATATATGGGAGCTAGGATCAATTATAGATCGATCCTATCAAAATTTGGTGGAGGGATTTATGTTCATATAGGAGTTAGATATGCAGAATTTCATCATAATGGAAGTGTTTAAGAGGGAAATAACGACAAGCCACAATTAAGAGCTCCGATTTAATCCATTTTCAAACAATTTCGTCCTTTGGTAAAGTGAAATATTTGAGCCTATTTTCATCAAATTATCTGGAAAATTGCGACTTGTAGTTTGATTACAAGGTTTAAATGGATGGACAGCCGGACGGACATAGCAAAACCACTATATTGCTGTATTGATATATAGTACATACATAGTTAACTTTCTGCTATTTTGAAAGGAAGTAGGATCTGAAATGGTTTGTAACTGAAACAATAAAACGGATTTCTGTTATATATAGTTCATTTAAAAAAAATGTCGACTGTTTTTCCTGGCAAATTAATTGTTTGTTATGGGAACGGTTGATAAATACTTGAACATTTTAAAATATCTATAAAATAGGTGTTTATGCATAAAAGTGAGCATTTTAAAAGCTAATAGTTCATATAATTCAATGTACTTTATTCCAGTAAAGCCACAATTTTCGATTTTGGGGAAGGATCCGAGATATCAGAAGTCACGCATAGAATATGACGTCGAATTAAAAAATTTTCTAAGAGTGAAATATAGCTACAGTCAAGCCATAAATATTGATATATCATATGTTACGATCAGACTTAAAATGGCGACGTTATATATAAAAAACAAAAAGGGCGGTATTTCTAGGCTTGGCAAAAAAATATATTTTATATTTTTGGAAATGTTATTAACATATCTTTAATCCTAGGGGGTGACTGACACAACTTTTTTTTTTGTCCATAGAGACCGACCCACTCTAATGTACATACTTATATTGTTAATAACTAGTAATGATCAAATATGCTATGAATTTGGAAACTAAATCAAATTTGCAACAATTTTAGGTACATTTAAAATATTCGCCTAGAATTATACAACACACTAAAGTAAAATGTTATAAAGTTAGACCGCTCTACCATTTATTATATTTTGCACAATTTTTGAATGTATGTACATTAAGGTGGTCCCAAAATTAAAGTTGCTTATGTTTTGTTAATTCTAAGATACAATTTCTCAGAATGATAAAAAGCTCCTTTTTTGGATGTTGCTGATGTTCCCGCATAAATTGAAAATTTACTTAATTCTAAGATACCATTTTTCAGAAGGATAAAAAGGTCCTTTTTTGAGGTTTTCATGATTTTGTACGTATTTCTTGCAAAGAAAATTTGGTAGTTAGAAGGCGCTTTTATACTATTTCATTGTGCGAAATATTTAAAAAGAAATCTTTAAAAAATACAAACATTTTGAGAAACGGTATCTTCTTAGAATGAACTAAAGTTTCATTTTCGTTGAGAACTTCAGTACATTATTTCTTCTTCACACAAAAGGGGCCATGCCAATGTATACATATATATACGCCAATGTATACATATATATACAAAGTTTGTGTAGGAATGTATATGTATTAGGGTTATAAGCAAAATTATACCCTATCACTACGTGGTAGCCAGAAGTATTCTGTTAACTAAAACATTTTATTCGGGACATTTTGGTGCAAAAACCTTCTGTGGCAAATCGATTTTCTAAAACCATTCAAAACAAATTTACTGGAAATTCGGCAGTGCAGAACACACAGACGGACATAGCTTAATAAACTCCGCTATCTATGTATAAGGACTCGAAATATATAATTACTCTATAGGGGCCGAAAATTATAATATAGAAATTTACAAACGAGTGTGAAGAGTATAAATTTCGTGTCAACTGACCCAACTCAAATTTTGACGAAATTTGCGCTAAAGTTAGTACTATTAGATAGTAGGTCAGACACAAATTTTCAGCTCTATCGGTCAAGAACTGCCGGACTTAGAGACAAAGTTGGACATGTTGCTCATACAGGGTTTTATTCAAATGAGTGTAACTTTTCACCTATTGGTCCTAGCAAAAATTGTCCAAAGAAGTTCAGATAGTGTCAAGTGACCACCCAACTTTAAAAATCGATGTCTTCCGATTTGGATGAAATTTGCACCAATGTTAGTACTATGGGATAATAGGCCAGACACAAATTTTCACTTGACTCTTTCTATGTACTTTTTTATACTCTATGTGGAATTTATAAAATTAATTACCCTAATGTAGATCCCAACTCAGACGATAATGAGTTTATAGTTTTTTTTGGGGGGAAAATTTAATTTATATGATTTTGACAAGTTCTATAATATTTACTACCAAAAATTTTTGGCCTAAATAAATTAAATTTTAAAATAATTTAACCGAAATTGTGGTTAAAAGTTTTAATTTTATTTTTTTTACTACCTGGGCATATGATGTTTGCATAGAATTTATTGAATCCTGATATTTTGCGAAATTTCCTTTTGTCTTTGACTTGATTAATAATGTTTCTTTATCAAATATCAATTAACCCAAATTTTAAATTTAGTATCTGTAGCTGACTCCTCCCAGCTGTGTGTTGTGTTGGTGTTTCCACGAATTTTCGATATTTTCTTGTTTGCAAAACTTATTATTGAGATTTTCGTTAAATATTTCAGTCATATTTAAGCAAATGCAATTTGCTAAAACCAAAGTATCTTTAGAATTTATGTCACACGATAGAAATTGTTGGTTTGTGTGTTTTATTTTTTTTTGCGCTTAGAAAACTTGTGCAAACTCTATTGAAATTATGTCAGTAAAGTTTTGTTAGTTCTAGTAGTTTGTTTAATACAAAAGCGCGTTTTATATAGTTTTTAATTTTTCTCCATACTTTCCACTTTTTGATACAGTCAGTTAGTTTGCTTTAGTTTTCCCTTTCTCCTTTCCAGCTTTTGTTTTTTTTTTTTTTCTATTCCTATGTGATTTTGTTTTTGTTTCTATATAATTTTCAATAACATTGTAGTTCCACTGCTGCCATTATTTGCAGCACTTTTGCCACCAAACTCGAAACCACCAGGTTATTTCAATATTCAAATATACATACTTCGTATGTTTGTGCAAATTCATAAATTTTTTACAGTTTTCTATACACTACTTAGAACAAATAAGGTTTTATTTTATATGTTTGTTTGTATTGTACATGTGTTTGTATTTAAAGTGACTGCATGAATGTGTGTTTGCGGATTTCTATTTCTCATCTGAACAACCCCACCATTTATTTCAATTCAAAATTTGTATCCGTTAGTTCACAAGTGTTTTAATTATGGCATTAATCTATGGTCTGTGGTTTTAAATAAAGTCAAAGTTATTAATACATACACATATGAAAAAAGTCATATTTTTATATTTATAATCCCATATATTTACATATACGAATGTATCCTACAAAATATAACTTATATTGACAGTTCTAAAAAAGTATTAGTTCTTGAATTTTAAAACTTTGGCTAGTAAATAAATAAAATTTCTAAAAATATAATCAAAAATATTTCTATAGTTGATTCTCAACTGATCACGAGACGTTTTTACTCAGTAAGCTAATACAAAGTTTATTCCACAAAAATAATTATACTGTTTTATTTCACAAAACTTATCGTGAAGGCTTTTTATGAAAACTGATCTTGTGGGTTCATTATAGAAAATTCATCATGAAAACTTTTCTATAGAAAATTGATCTTTATATATTTTTTTTATAGAAAATTGGTTATAAAAAGTTTTCTACTGAAACTGATAATTTTCTATAGAAAAATTATTGTAAAAAGTTTCTATAAAAAATTTATCGTAAAATGTTCCATTAAAACTGTTGAAAAAACTAGCTTTCTTTAAGTTTTTAGTAAATAGTAATAAATTACATGAATTAATTCATTTAAGGCCCATTCGTGTATAAATGACGTTTTGTTAAGCATTTTTTAACCTCCCCCGAGGATAAAAATTAAAATTGAATTTATATTTTTAATATCAAATGTGAGTCTTTTTTCAGATTAGAATTTACACAAAAACAAAAACAGAACTTATTTAAATATTAATTTAATTTTATCCGCTTAAATATTTTTTGTAAATTTTAATTCGTTTTTTCCCCTCTTTTGTTCATTTTTTTTGCAGATATTTCAATTTGTTTTGTTGAGCTGTAATTGCCATATGAACAAAAGCTGCTAGAAAGGTAATTAGTTTTTTAATATTATTATACAAATATAATTATAAAGTATTATTATTTGCATATATTTTATGCAAATTAATTTCAATTAAATTTATGTATTTAAAACATATTAAAGTAAAAAGTCAGATTTTCAGTAATTTCAGCTAAAAGTTTATATACTGTCTAATTAAAAAATCTTACGAAAATGTTCTCGAAGTGAAATGATTTAGAAAAGAGAGTTTTTCATTAATTATAATTTTATGACAAATCATTATTTACTTTAGTTCTCTTGCAACTTGTACCAATTATTCAAAATACTAAACAAACAAATATGCAAAGTTAGATCATTAGTTTTTCATTAAATATTTCTTTCCCTTTTTCCAGATTGTGTACGTTACAAGTGTGTGTTTGACTTTGATGTTTTCGTACAATCATCAATCATATCAAAAACCAATTCTAAGACAGCATTTCCTTAGAAATTAACATTAGACATGTTCTACAATCAACTTTCATCCTCCTTTATAAAATAAAATGTTTTTAAAATGAGCATAAAACTAAAACATACATACTTAAACTACTACCACACACATGCTTCGCATCTAATTCGTCCTTTTTGGTTTTTGTCTACTTTGTTTTTTTTTTGTTCCCTTTTTTACAACATCATCTTTATTCAAAAACTCCTACTAGATTTGGCTTTACATAAATATGAAGGAAGTAGGGTGCATTGTTAAGGTAGTTGAAGAGCAGGATTTAAAAAAATCTTAAAATACCCGGCAGGGCTTTCAATTTACATTTGATTCATATTACGATTTAAGCTATATGCAAAATGTTTGGTCCCAAAATAAGATTTTATATTAAGTTTTAATCCAATTTTAAGTGTTTTCGATTAAGCGCATTATCTTTGGCCCCAACAAACCGCGTAAATCGAGGGTTATCAGTATATATAATTAGTAATGATTGCTCAAACTTAAGGCTATGTTTGAGCTCCAAATAAGCTGTTTAATAGTTGATCTATTCCATGATTTAAATTTATTTATACCCACCATCAAAAAAGAAGGGGTATGTTGGTTTTGTTTGAAACACATCGAAATATTGGTCTAAGACCCACAATAGTATATATTCTGGGCCCTTATTAGATTCTATGACAATCTAGCCATGTCCGTCTGTCTATTGAAACACGATAGATTCCAAAAGGAACGAGCTAGAGAGCTAAAAATTTTACATAAATATTTTTAGTGGATGCAGTTCGTTTAGTATTGAAAATCAGTTTCACCTAGCCCCCTTATAAGGTCCCCTTCAAAAAAACCTATAACGCTCATAACTTCTTTCAAAATTCCATTATAGCAACGAAATGGGAAATTTATGGGAACTTAAATCTCTTTGCTTAATTTTATAAAGATCGGATCATAATTGACCCTACCCTCCATATAAGGCCCCTCTCAGAAAATGACTTTAATGCTCATAACTTGCTACAAAATTTTAGTATAGCAACGAAATTCGACATATACATGTTTAATATAAACTAAAATCTCTCTGTCAAATTTTATGAGGATCGGCCAATAATTGACCATACCCCCATACATAAAAATAATTTAAACGCTCATAACTTGCTTCAAACTCCCAGTAAAGCAACAAAATTCGATATAAGCAAGTTTTATCGGAACTAGAAACTGTCTGTAGAATTTTATAAGGATCGGTCTATAATTGACCCTAGCCCCATGTAAGGCCCCTCTTAGAAAATGACTTTAACGCTCATAACTTGCTACAAAATTCCAGTATATCAGTTTGACATATACATGTTTTATATAACCTAAATCGGCCAATAATTGACCCTACCCTCCATACAAGGTCCCCTTCAAAAATGAGTAAAACGCTCATAACTTGCTTCAAATGCCAGCAACATAACTCTACATAAAAAAGTTTTTTTGGGAACTTAAATCACCACACCTAATTTTATAAGGAATCTACCTCCCATATAAGGTACACTTCAAAAAATTACTATATCGTCCACAACATGCTTCAAAATTTCAATACAACAACGAAATTCGACATAAATATGTTTTATCGGTCAAATTTTATAATCGGTCTTAAAATTTAGAAAAAAGTGTCAAATTCTTGCAGTAAAATTTAGAAAAACGAGCAAGTTGTGGTAATAAATAATATAGTATAAGACCATTTTCCAAAATTCACTTGAAATATACGGCACATGATTTGATGGTGGGTTTATAAGATAAGATTCTTTTAATTTGAATTAATCAATTAACTCCTAAATTTACCCACTTTGTACGTAAAAAAACACAGGTATTACATGATGTTTTTACAAGACACATTAAATCCAAAAAAAGTAAAAAAGAAATACAAAAAAGCTTTTCCTTCTCTTTACTAAATCGTATACGCTTTTGCCGCAAAAATGTAATAAAGTGAATGAATGACTAGTGTTGTTGTCTGTCCGTCCGTCCGTCTGTCGTTGTAGTAGTTTTAACAATTCCAGCAGCAGTGTCAAACCGTAGAAAATATGTATGTGTGCGTGTGAGTGTTTTCCCGTTTCCGAATGTATGTTTAGGGTTGTCATCCGGTTGGTTACCTTTTTCACTCTCTCTTCTCTCTTTCCTACTTAACTTCTTTACTCATTTTCTTGTTTTGTGGGTTAAGTATGTGTTAAACAAAGCATCATTTATTAAATAAAAACTAAAAAGAACCTACATACATACATTCACACAAAAAAAAGTTGAATGCAAAAAGTGACAACGTGATTTGACTTAATAACAACACATACACACATGCAACTCTGAAACATACAAACTCTTATGAGTAAGTATGAGTAAGTATGAGTAAATATATTATAAAGGACTTCTAACAAAAGTTCAACACAACTGAACTATTGGTAGAAGACTGTAAAAGAACACATACAGACACCCACATTAACATGCACACAAAAACTTTGAGTGATAAACAATATTTTTAACATGTTTTTTAGTTCTCCAAAAAGCAAAAAAAAAAAAACTAAAGCATACATTTTAACATGAGATGATCTTAAAAGCATCAAATTTGTTTGTATTAGTAAATCACATCTAACCAAAAAAATATTCCAGAGAAAAAACTGAATAAATTTTAATATTAAATTTATAAATTTGTTTAAGTATACGTGTCATAAATATATTTATGATGAAAATCCTATTATTCATATTTATGACTTATAAGAGATGTTACTGGAAAAGATAATATAAATAACTATAAATATAATATGAGTTTCAATTCTATTTAGATTTTAAAAGACAAAATTAAATATTTGTGCTGAAAATAGTAGATTAAAGGCAATATTTAATATGGTTTTAAATAAATAGATTTTATATAATTTAGTTTAGATGGTGACTAAAGATTTTATTTCTCCAATTAAAATTTTATTTTTTATATTTTAATTCTTTTAAAAATAAACACATTTATAAACTTCATAATGGAAAATCTGAGTACTTAATTTGATTGAAGTTTTTACTACAAAATACTAAGATAGAGTAATTTGTACTATAATTTGGGGACTATAAGCGATGAAAATAATATTTTTTTAAAGGATGTTCCAATGATATTTTGAAAATACTAATCAAAATATATTAACCAAAAGTATGACGAAAAATTCTTGACCCATAAATATTTTACATGTTTCTGGAAAATTATCTGATAAAAATTAATTTCCTTAAGCTAAATTATTCGAATGCATAAATTTGTTTTTAACTTATGTATATGAAAAATTTAATCCACTTAAGAATTTAACCTTAAATTTACAAGACACACCAATAATTCAGTAATAGTTTTCCTACATCATCCCTTGCTGGGTATTCTATTTTTTCTGCCCACCTCTGTCTGTAATTGTAAACATCCTGATTTATATTCATTCACTGTCTTTGAACCAAACAACCTAAGAAGATTTAAATCTGTTTATGGTAAAACACAAATAAAAAATGTCTATTGTTTTCAACAATATTTTATCGATACGACAGTATAAAAAACGAAATACTCGTAAACCAAATAGAAAAAAATACAAAAAAAAAGAATAGAAGAAAATCCATGTTAAGTAGTAGTGGTACGATAGTTGTAGTTGTAAAGGAAGAAGCAAAAGAAATAGTTGTTGTCATCATCTGAAAATAGGGGGAAAAGCTGGATACAAAAGTCTTGTTGATGTTGTTGATACTCTGTATTTTGTGTAAAATAATTTAAAGACAACAAACAAATACTTGGAACTAAAGAAACGATGAAGCCAAAGCCCATAGACATAGAACAAAAATCTATTGATAATAGCAGCTGCAGCGGCAACAAAAACAACTACATATGTATATTGTAAGTAGGAAGATAGATAGTAGAACAGGACAACATCCTGGAAAATAAAATTTCAATAATGCGGTTAGTAACTTTATACCAACCAATATTACAATATTATAAGTATGTTGTAAGAATTCATGTGTGTGTATGGTTGTATACTTGTATGTGTAGTATGAATACAATACTAAGTATGGGTTACTGGTTCAATGATCTTTATTGAACACATTCGCCAACAGCAACAACAGAAACAATAAGAAGATGTTTACAACTACTATTTACCAATAGCAATAGTATTGTTGTTGTTGCTGCTGCTGCTGCTCTGGCCTTTGCTGTTGCTGCTTACTTTATACTTGTATTCATCTGCAGCTACAATTTTAACTTGGTTTCCTTCCTGTAAATATTAAATAGTTTGTGTTTTACTTGACTTTTTACACTTGTATTCCTAACTCTAGTACTTTTCAGTGTATGAGTTTAATACAATAATACTCTTTTATGAATATAAGTGTACGAGGGTGTAAATCGGAAGTTTATTTACTTATTGTAGGCAAAGGAAACGCAACACAATTATCGGGTAGTTGAATTAATAAAATAAGCTCCTTAAAATGTCTTGAACCAAATTCTAAAAACTCCTTTCTTAAAATAAGTAAATCTGTAAATATTGTCATGGGAAATGATTATTTTTTTAATCTAGTGGATTTCGAATGTACTGT